TTTTTTCCCCCCCCCCCCCCCCCCCCCCCCCGATACTTCAAGCTGCGCCATTTTGGGGAGAAAGACGTTTTCTTGAGAGTTACGAGGATAGAAAAATGTTACAAGTCTCTGTAAATTGTCTCTATGTTCACTTTATGAGTGCGTCAAGGAGATAAATACCCAAGTAGCAAAGTGACGTCAAATGAACATCTTAGTAACGTCTTTAACGAGAAGATATCATTAAAACGTCACCTTGTTATTTGAGTAAGTCATAATTGAATAGTATTAATTTGTTGACATTTCTTCCAGGTTTAGAAGACTAAATTATTTAAAGATTATGCGTTTCGCGGGTTTTTTCCGTGCCCAGATCCACTCTTGGAATGCCAACGTTTCGTGAACTTCGAATGAAGTCCACTTCATCAGAGCGAAGAGCAGCCTGATACTGTATCAGGTTGTTCCTCACCCTGATGACTGCAAGAAACTGCGTTCACGAAACGTTGGCATTCCAAGAGTGAATCTGAACACGGAGAAAACTCGCGAAACGCGTAATCTTTAAATTATTTTTTATATAGAAAGCCTCAAGAATAATATAAATTATTTTTGAAATATATTTTATAATTATAGATAATTTTATTTAAAATATATACATTTCTGACGTAGTATTTTTCATATAGAATAAATGAGAAATGAGTTTTGATACAACTATAAGATTAATATCAACAGTACAAAATGAAGTAATTGTTGCAAATTATTATTGCATGTATTCAAGAAAAGGCAGACGCAATATCATTTCGGTCTCAAAGCAAATCCGCATGGCCATGATGAGTGCGCCATTTATAAGATAACAGAACGGCATGGAGAGCGATTCCGAAATGTTCCTGAGTGCCGGCGCCGTATCTATTGAAAATCCCAACAGTGGATACAAACGAGGAGAATGGAGTCCTGCCGACGGAAATTACGTCGCGCGCGGACCGCGGGCGTTTCTGGCTTACATCAGCGGTGATTAATTTCGGGAGATTAGCGGGGTGCCGGTCGTTAGAATTAAACCGGAGAATATATCGGTCGAAATCGCCTTGTCGGCTCTGCATTAGACCGTCTAGCTAATTAGCTCGTAGCAATGGCCGATGGATGTAACTGCCGGATCTGGTGCTTTAGAACTTAACGGATAGTACATGACCTTAACATGGCGTTCGTGTTCGCGTTACGTAAGTTCGCGATTAAAAGCTACGTATTCTTAAGCCGACTAGAAGCACAGAGAGGAAAGAAGGGTGAGAAAGAGAGGGAGGGAGGGAGGGAGGGAGGGAGGGAGGCAGAGGATCGCGAATGAGCCCTCAAAATGGTGAGGTTCTGAGGTTCCTTGGCACGTTCTCATGCGCGAGCTCTCATGCGAATGTTACGATTATTGCAGTCTGGAGAGTTCCGAGTGGAAATTAGCGCGGCGCGATTAAGCTTATGCCCTCTAAGGCTGAGATTATCGTTAGCGAGAAGTGATTTAGATACATGCTGGGCCTCCGTGGAAAAGTTGCTAAGTGTGGGCTAACTGCGGCGGCCATTCGGAGCAAGTTTCGTGGAACGGTTCGTGTGACGAACTCCCGTGGACTTGTTCCGCAAAGTCGTTCGCGATAGTATCGTACAGTGCGTGAATGTCTCGCGTGAAGCATTGCCGTATAAGTTTGCACACGACAATTACTCTCCACGGCCGAGGATTCGATGAATCTAGAAGTCTGTGTATAACACGACATGTAAAATGGCAAATAAAAAATAATTCAAACCCTTTTTAAATTCCAACAATTTTTTATCACACATTATGCAAAAATAATTACCTCACATAATCACGCGATTTTATAGATTTATAATTGCTAATTGTAAATTCAATTATAATTTTGTAGGAAGTACTACTGGAATTGTGTCAATTAGTTCAGATTATTTGATAAATCTAATTAACTCTCAATTATAACAACGGGTTACTAGTCTGTTGGCACTTCTGAACAATTAACTCTACAAGGTTCTAAACAGTAAAAAAAACTTTAAACTTTTCTTTCTTAATCGTCGTATAGGCAGAGATTCAATTACATTCTCTGTACTTCAAACAGAACGCTTTAAAAATCTAACTTGAAACATTTAGACTCGAAAATTATAGATTCGTAAGTTTGTCATTAATATTTGAAATTGAATATTCTAATGAAAAAATAGTTTTATTTATAAAGAAAACACAATTATTTTCATTTTTATTGCATTTTTCTATAAAAATGTCGGCTTCATGTTACTTTCAATTGAATAATAAAATCATAAGTAAAAAAAATGAGGAAATAATTATTTTTTTATTTTGAAGTGCTAAGCTATTTTTATTTCATTTTTATAGCAAAAAATAAAACAAGAATACGCTTTATGGAATTTGCGCAAGCCAATAAAACTTTTTTTACATTAATTATAATTAATCAAAATTTCAATAATATTTATATTAATAATCATTTGTCATTTTATTATATTTATAACATTGTAACATTCTTCATACATACATGTCTCAAAATATATCAATTTCATCTACTGAAATAGTTGTGCTGTTTGAGAAACCAAACATTATAATAGCCACTAAAATATTGAAATTTTAAATTACACAAGCAGTATGTTGTGTTTAAATTTGCCTTTTTTTAAATTCATTAGATGTAACTTTGGTTTTAGGGCATGTTTCCTTTTGAAACAGTGTATCAAACTTATGAATATGAATATTAAAATTAGAATTAGGATCCTTTTTTTGAAAAAGTGTGTAAACGAACATTTAATGATTATTAAATTTATCTTCATACGCCTTTTTTAAAAAAAATGCGATATTTCTATTTAAAATATAGGATTAAACGAAAGTTTTTGCGTTTTTAGATTAGGATCACTATCGATTGATTTCGTTTTAATATAATGTTATTAGAAATGTACTGAAGATGGTCAAATGTTGACCGAAACGTATACAAATTGTACTAGTTTTTTTAAAATATATGACTTCTTAACAACGAAGGTTGGTTATATGTTCCTGAAAAGTTTTAATTTTCTTAATGTTAGCCACTAA